AATTTAATGGTCAAGTCATTTGCCTAAAAATAACTTTTGATTCTAATTTTTTTTCACTCATTTTCAATTAATGTTTGCATGCATGTATGTACTTTATTTTTGGGCCTTAATAAAAAAATCCGCATTTTCCGCGTTTTGACCCGCTTTTGCTGCGGCACAGCACAAGCGCAATACTTGTTTAAACCCGCTTTTTTAATTAATTTTTTTTGGGCCTTAATAAAAAAACCCGCATTTTCCGCGTTTTGACGCGGTTTCTGCTGCGCGCAGCACACGCGCATTCCGCGTTTAAACCCGCTTTTTTAGGGCCTTAATAAAAAAACGCGGTTTCTCCGCGTTTTGACGCAGTTTTGATGCGCCGCAGCACACGCGGTTTCCGCGTTTAGACGCGGTTTTATTAATTAATTTTTGACGGCTTATTTTTCGAGTTTTTTTCAAAATTTTAAAATTGTTTCCTACACTATGAAAGGTGTAGAATTTAATGGTAAAGTCCATTTTCCATAAAAATGACTTTTATTTTTTTTTTCTGCTCACTCATTTTTTCAATTAATTGTTAGCGGCTTGTTTTTTATTATTTTTTGACATTGTAAAGCTGTTTCCTACACTTTGAAAGGTGTAGAATTCAATGGTAAAATTTATTTTTCATAAAAATGAATTTTATGCATTGTAATTTCCGTTCCCACTCATTTTTTCAATTAATTCTTAGCAGCTTGTTTTTCATTATTTTTTGACATTGTAAATTTGTTTCCTACACTTTAAAAGGTGTAGAATTTAATGGTAAACTTTACTTTTCATAAAAATGATTCCTTTGCGTTTTAATTCTTGCTCCCACTCATTTTATTGATGCAAGCACAGTGGGAAGTTCCTGGTGGTTATTCACCCTTCCGAACTTGAATTTATCAATGGGAAAAGTTAAAAAATGCTATAATATTCTAGTGAGGCCAAATTTGGATTTACAAAAGAGTGTGGGCATAAACGAGCGTAGTTTGGATTTTAAATTGAGAAGAGGGACAATAGCAGGAAATCAGAGGAAGGTACAGAGAACAGTAATGAAAAATATTATTCAACATCAATAGGAGCCTTTTTGAAGCGCAAAGATCTTCTGACAGGTGGGTACATGACTTCTTGACCCAATTCAACATTGGCGTGAATCCAATCCTCCCAACCCAGCGCTTCATCACTGACATAGTGTTTCCAAAATGTATCGATCCTGGGGCATGGCCATACTTCAGCCTTGAAAGTGAAACTGATGAAATGAGAATAGTCAGGTAAAAGGATCAGACAGATGGGAGGGTTGTTGTTTGGAGTATGCGAAAGAGGAAGATAAGTCGCAGGCATCTGTTCCGATAATAAAATAACCGGTCTTTGGTACGTATCAGCTATTAAATATCCATGGGCCGGGAACGTCATCCAGTACTTGAGGGGGGCTTGCTGTTCCTTGTCTCTCCATGCAAGAGAATCAACAATGTCCTTTCGGTCGTCCCCTGCTCCCCATACGTTATCGAAGAAGGTTCGGTCTGAATAGGCCTTGTTCAACTCAAATTCCTTCTTCATTTCTTCGCGGACTGAGTCCCATTCGTCAGACTTGCGGCCCAAGCTGACCGCAACCGCTCGAAAGCCACAGTTCCCATCGCCTTTGACGTCGTGAACGTGTAAGATATGTGCAATTGCTCCAGCCGGCTTGATGCTGTCTTTGTGCTTATACTAACCAAAGTTTAAGAGGGAAACAGAGGGGATGAACAATGTGAAAAAGAAGTAAGTAGATGAGTTACTCACAAGGTCAATCTCAACATTCTCGTATGTACTCCAGGTCAGTGCCTCGCTCAAAGGAGTATTGTCAGGTTCAAATGGAGTTTCGTCAGGTTCATCTGCTTCAGTGATGGGTTCGGGTTTTGGCTTGACCAATTTGATTGGCCTAATTTGTAAGGGTTTTGTGACAGTTGGTGGCTTGGGTTCTTCTTCCGAATGCTCGTCGTCGGTGAATATGTTTTCACAAAGGGCTCCAATTCCATCTGAAGCATCATCCTCACTCTCTTCCTCCGTTTCCATGGCCTACGCAAAAATGAATCAGACGCAGGAAAAATCTTTAGAAGGATATAAGCAATGCGCACCTCTGACTCATCCGTGTCATCCTTTTTGGCCGGTTTCTTCCTTGGTCGCCCAGGTTTGCGCTTGGGCCCCTCGTCCAATTTGGCCACCTTCTTTGGCCTGCCTTGTTTCTTCTTCTGCCCTTCGACGTACTCAAATCCAGATGGGTCCCTCTTGGTTGAAGATGTTGATTTGTGTTTCCGTTTCGAGCCTTTGGGTCGGCCCTTGAATCGGTGGTTCTTATCAAACTTCGGTTCCTCGAGAGCAATGGTTGCATGTGTCCCGTCAAGGAGTTTGTGAAATTCGCCTAGCATGAAGTGTTGTTCGCCAGGTTGAAGGGATTGGAACTTTGGAAATACATCGCTGAGGAATGTGTCTTCATGGTTCTTCTGCGTTGTGTCCGCGGCGTTTTGGTTTTCACTGAGTTCCACCTGTCAAATCGTCAAGAACAAAATTATTCAGAACAATTGGGCGAGTTTTGTTTGGATCCTCTTGATGATAATAAATTAGGTACTTACATCTAGATCCGTTTGGACGTGCCACTGAGCATGGAAATCATCTGCAGTAAACTTGCTCCCCTCAAGTTTGGCGTTGTGGACTTGATGGATGCATGGAATACCCATGTGAGCTGAGTAGTTACCTGTACATGTTGTGGTCGGAGCCTTGGCCATTTGAAATGCAAAAACTATCCTCAAGGCAAAGTGGGAGATGATTCCGTTAAGATTGGCAATCA